TCCATCTGCGGGTGGAGGAGCCCCTCGGGCCTCTGCTGTGCGGGCCGCTCCTCCCCGTGGGGTCTGGTCACCCGTTCACAGCTCCAGTCGTGGGGGCCCTGGGTCTCAGATGTGCCTGAGCTGCGGCCAAACTCACCCTCACCTCCCCGTCTTTACGTGGGAACAGCACACTCTCACGTGTGACTCTGGGTGATGAACGCGCAGGAACAGAGCCCCCGCACAAATGTTTTACGTTTCCCAGTCGGTGCGAATGCAGGAACGCCTGAGCACCAGGAGTTTGAGTCTTGAGGGCGTCAAGCGTTCTCGCCGACTCTGAACAGAGCGTCTGTCACGGAAACCACGTGGACTCATTTCCAGTGTTTGTTCAGAGTCACGGTTTATGTGCAATTATCTTTGTGGCAAATGTTCCAACAAGTTACAGCTGCCACAGGAAAACACGGTGCAGATGAAGAGGAGCGGGGTGCCGCCCGCAGACGGGGCGTGCGGAGTGGACTTGTTCGAGGAGGAGGGTTGGCGGACTTATTCCAGGTCCCTGGACTTCGGCAAACGGATTATTCAAGTAAGGGTTAGACGCAGAGCTCAGGGCAAAGCCAAGTCCTCAGAGTCAGAGGAAGAGGTCAGCTCTCCCTGGAGATAAGTGACCGCCTTCCTTCTGAACTGCAGTGTCCCCTGCACAGCGGCTCCCCGCACCCCCGCCGTCCTCCACGGGCGAGGGCCTGCACGGGGGGCCTCTGGGCGCTCAGGAGGCTGAGGACCTGGATCAGACAAGTCACGTGAATCTCGAGAATGCAGCTTCAGATCTGACAAGAAGCAGCTAGGCTGAAAATCTCCTGAAAGTCTGCGCTCCTCCCGTCAGATGCCGCATCTCTGGGCGCCGCCCTCCCTGTGGCTGCTCTGACGGCAGAACCAAGGTGACCCCTTCCTTCTGTGAAGGGAGCCGAGCCGTCTCCCAGGGTCGGGGGGCGGGGATGGTGAGGAGGAAATGAAACGTTGTGTCTCGTCTGCCCCCTTCCACTAGAGATGGGAATTGCATCTTTATGTGGGAAATTTAACACAGAAATATGCCTCTTACACAAAATTTGGGAAGAACCATCATCTGCAGACCTGTGACACTGTCTCTAGAGACTCAGGGAGTGTCTCACAATAAGGAAGGAGACGGGAGAATAAGCCAGGTGTGGTCGATTCGGCTTCAGTGACGACGGCGAAAACCCGTCAGTAAGAGGAAAGGGTCTCTCGGCCAATCGCTGATTCCAGAGGCGGCGGCGACAGATAAACGTCTTCCTTCTACACCATCGGTTGGTTTCTAGATAACTGTCAGGTGCCTGCGAAGAGCCGTTCTCCTTGGAGGAGACCCGGCATTGGCGTCAAAGGGGCAGGTGGTCGTCATAGCTGGTCAGTGAGAGACCACAGCTGGTTTTAGAAATGAAAATGTGGGCAGAGGGTTAGTCAGGAATGAATGGAAAATGCACGAAAACGCCCAGCGTCGTGGGGCTCCCTGGAGCCCCAGGGCCGCGGTCCTCGACGCCCTGCTCTCCTGCGGGTCCTGCAGGGCCCACGCGCCACCCTGCCGGGGTCCCCCAGCTTCCTCCGCCCCGTCCCCTTCCCGTGCCACACGCACGCCCCGTGATCCCAGTTCCACGCAGGACCTGGGGCCTTGGTGGCTGGGACCCCCCAGAGCGGGGCCTGCACCCCTGGCTCCCCCAGCTGGCCACTCTCGCTGCTGCCCAGG